GTCGTTTCCTACTGCTGTTGTTAGATTAGTTTTCTTGGAAACTTAACCATTGAAAACTCATAATTGGGGAATCAATCAAGTTATTGTTCTTGTTCTTAATCTATATTTCGTATTCTCCTGGTTTCTTCGTTTCAATTGTTGTCGTAAGTTCTGTCCTTCATTTCAATTATTGTTGTTGCTTTCAATTTATCTGTCGTTTCTCCTGGGTTTTGTCGATTTCATTAATTGTTGTCGTAAAGTATGTCCTTAGTCAAGTTTTTGTCGTTTGCAAATTTTGTTGTTTGCACGGTCGATATCGTTTTCGTTGTTGTTGGGCAATTAGCGTTTTTCAATTTGTTGTCGTTTTTCCTTTATATTCGGAAGTTGATTTTAAAAAAAAAAAAAAAAAAAAAAAACTTGTCGCTCTTGTGTTATTAGTAGTAATGTTAGCAATATATTGTCCTTTTTTGTAATTATAGTCGTTTTGGATATTTGTCGTTCTAAGTGTATTGTCGTTTTCTATTATTGTTGTCGTTCATTTTTTTTTTAAAGGTTATTGTTGTCGTTGACGTGACAGCATTTTATGTTAAATAAGGACTCCTGAAATGGCACATGAATCACCCAAGCCGGTGTCCTATAAAAGGTCAGCAATAAGATCATGGGAGCCTCGTGGGTGCTTAAAGTTAGCCTTACTCTTAAATTATTAACACTTTCTTGTACTTAAAATTTAATGTAGGTATATTTTAATTTATATTTAGAAAAACAGGACAAGTACTTAGTGTAGTGATTCATAAAAAAAATATATAACCCAACAAACGAACACTGTGTCATATTCTACTTACCTGACTTGCTTAAATAGTATTTGTTTCTTCAATCTAAGTAATAATAAGGAGAATATACTGTATACATTATTTTGCAATGTCCTGTCTGTAGAGTTTATTTGCCGTTGGATTAAACTTTTATTGTCTAATTTATGAGTGTCTACGTCATAATATAAAAGTGCAACCTTTCAATTTAATCAAACGGCTAAAACTACTTACCAAAGAATTTTCTTAAAAATAGATGTTAAGAATAATGTCATCTTCTTCACTTTTTTTTAGAATAAATTATTAGAATTCATATAGGGAGCGTTTGGTATGCAGTAATCTTAAGAATGAGAATGAGAATCTGCAAGATTATCATGTTTGGTACAAGAATTATAATTTTTAGATTCCCAAGAAAGTGATTACCATGAGATTCACTTTCTCTCATTTTAAGGTAATTTGAATACCACCTAACATGGTGTTATTCAAATTCGCAGGAATCTCAAAATCATGAAAATCTTATTATTATTATTATTATTGATCTTCTTCCATGCGAATAACCAAACACAGTAATGTAATATTCCTGAAAATTTAAAAAAGATTCTTGTATGGAACCAAACACAGTAATATATTATTCCTAGTAATCATATTACCCTCTATCACTTTCCTGAAAATATGATTCATACTGATTCCTGCATACCAAACGCCCCCATAATATTATTTACGTAGTTTTAAGAAACAAATTATGTCTAGTCACTGTGTTTGTCTGATGAAATTTCTTTTTCAATTAAACAACTTTTGTATCTTTGTTAATCCGGTTTATATGTTATCTAAATAGACAAGAGTTTCACGAGATTTGGAATTGTCTGCCAAAATAGCTTTCTATCTTTTGTATGTATTATGCATTATATATTTTCCATAAGATTTATTGTCTGTCCAGCTTGTGAACACACATCCACCATTGTGCGTTAATTAATAGAACAGCTAATTGGAATAATTGGTATAGGGCCAACCCCAGATAAAATTATATATATATATATATATATAAAATATATTTATTGAACAATATATACGAATATCACCTTACGATAATGTTGAATATATACAAGGATTATATAAAAGAATAGGAGACAACATTAATTATAAGTTGATTTTTAAGATTAAGGGAATAGTTTGGTGATTGCTACTCATCATTATCCACATACATAAAAGAAATATAGTGAAGTTCCATCTTTTTATAGTTTCAGTGTACATGATACGTATAATGAAAAACCAAGAAAATCTATATGTATCAAAGGACATTGAACAGTCAAAGTTTGATTAACATCTGATCTCTTTATGCAGTCTCATAGTCGCATTCAATCAGGCTTACTAATTAGGACCACTCAACTGCCACTGATTGCACATGAGGGACCATAATTTCTTTTGTTCACTTTGTGCTTTTCCTCCATGATTGTTCAATAAATTGGTGCCAAACCTTGGGCTCCGTTCGCTTACCGAGTTCGAAGTTTAGGAGTTTTAAATCTAGTGTTTATACGGGTTTACTCAGATTTAAACTAGTGTTTAGAAGTGTAAAGTCTTAATAAGAAATAAAACATCACGTTAGAGAGTAAAAGTTTGAACTGGTGTTGGTTGTGTGAGAATTATGAGTAATCCATAAAGAGAGTTATGGTTACATATTAAAAAAAAATTAACAAATAGGTTCAAGCCCATAATAACTAAAGAGAGGATAAATGGGGTTTTAAATCAAAAATATATTAGTAAATAGATTCAAACCCGTGAGAACTAAAAAGAGGTGAATGAGGGAGTTAGAGGGAGGTTAAGTCCTCCAAAAAGGGTTCTAAACAACTCATGTGATAAAAAAAAAAAAAAAAAAAAAAAAAAAAAAAAAACAATTTTAAAAAAAAAAAAAAAAAAAAAAAAAAAAAAAAAACCATGAAAAGTGCGGGCCCTTCTCTTACTATGAATCCTTAGTGACAAGAAAACCATATTCATGATGACTAGCCACGCAAAAGAATCACAAACCAATTTAAATCTCCTAAATTTATTGCTTGCTTACAATGAAAAGGCACGTGCAATAACTTGAGCGAACTACATTGTACACATTAAATATTCACTGCATACAATTTAATTGCACGTTAATGAACCCATAAAAGAATTGAATAACCATGAGAACTGACTTTATATGTCATATTGTTCAAATTATGTTATTCTGTTTTCAACCTGTTCAACTAGATTGCTTGTTAGTATCACCTAAAGGAGTGCATAATTCTATTTATCTAGAAAGACAAGAGAAATTTATGACAAAAACAATATGAGAGTTAGCAACGTTGTTAACATTAAATGATTCTCTCACGGTGACCGTGAGCCTCGTGCAAGTGTGGCAAGGAAGGGAGCTATGGTCCACCGGCAAGTGTGGTAGCGAGGAGCCTAATCTAGAACGTTTCTTCTACTAATTTAATTTTTATGAAAAGGAAAAATTAAATAAAATTAGATTGTTTGGATATACAGGTTACATGCGTTCTAAGTTTGAAACACTACTCTGAGGATAATTTGACCATTTTAAAAAAAAAAATGTTGTCGGTCAATAATTTCACATTAGAAGAGATAAACCCGTTCGGTTTGCTAATTCGAGTTAAGATGTGATGTTGTGTGAGAGTTTTTTACTGTAGTAAAAAAGTTAAATGTGACTGTTTCTGAGAGTTTTTTACTGTAACAAAACTCGAATAAGCGAAATGAACGAGACAAATCCATTCTGAAATACATAAGGTGGAACACAACATTCTATAAACAAAAAACACATGTCATGTTTTTGTTAATAAATTTATAATCCCTTCATTAAACCACATATAGGCAAGGAGGTTTTGGGGGGGATTGATCCTTTCCCATTTTTGCTATCTCTCTATTAAGTGCAAAAACGTGAACTTTTTAGCTTAGAGTTAGAGAAAAAGGTAAAAAGAACCTTCTTCCTTGAACCAAAGCCAACAGAAGAACAACAAAGAGTTGGACAAGATGTGCAGTTACAACGCAGATTTTATCAGTCTTTTTCTGCAGCACTTCTCACCTGCCCCAAGATTCCTTTCTGTAAAACTGTTACTCATCTGTAGATAAAGAGAGAGTGAAAGCAAAGTTTTCACTACCGTCGTACCCAAAAGGCACATGCTTTATGAAACCACGTTATTCACTCAATCAATAATCAATAATACTTTAAAAATAATAATAAAAAATCAACAGGCCCCACGTTGGAAAAACCAAAATAGACCAAAGCTTTTACCATCTCTCCCAATATTTTTATTTTTTTTATTTTTTTTATTTTTTATAATAGTTTTGACTGGTCATGTTTTACTCCCCCACTTCATGTGCTATCATGCTTCCTTCAAGGACTCATCCTCTTTTTATTTATTTATTTAAATGTTAAATTTTAAGGTCATTTTTAGTTTATTTTTCGAATTTTAAAACTCACTTATTCTCGTTCGTTCACTTTACTGATTCGAGTTGAGATGTGATTTTGTGTGAGAGCTTTTTACTGTAGCAAAAAAGTTAGATGTGACTGTTTCTGAGAGCTTTTTACTGTAGTAAAACTCGAATCGGTGAAATGAACGGAACCTTAAACTTTGAATCTTTTTCACTTAATCCCTTCTATTGAGAGTAATGCAGATAAAAAAAAAAGTAATGCAATCATATATTTATTTTTTGTTTGAATTTTTATAAAAAATAAACAGATAAAAATTACATAGTCATACTTAACACTTTCTTTTATATTTGATTATAACAGAAATTTTTATAAAAGAGTTTTAATGAGACAAATCTAAAATTTAAGAGGTAAAATAAGTTTTTAAAATTTAAAATATAAAGTGAAAATGATACTAAAGTTTAAGAAGACACTGGATGATAATCCTAATTTAAAATAAAGTATACTCAGACCTGGTGAAAAATATATATATATTTTTTATTTTATTTTTTCCTTTGGCATTTAACCATGCATTGAAAGAAGAAGTATCTTTTCATCTTTTAAGTACAGCAGAAGCAAAACCGCCTAGGATTCAAAAAAGCTTGTCCTATTAAAAAGCAGAAATATTGTAATAATAGAAAATTATGCAACATGAGGTGGGGAAAAAAAAAGAAAAAGAAAAGAAAATTAAAGAAATGAATAAAAGAAAATAAAAATCCAGGTAAGAGCTAGTAAAGCAAGCAGAGAGGCGCAGATAATTGTTGAATAATAAAATTATAAAAAATTATAATAAAAGGGTGGATATTCGCTCGCTCTCTCACTCACTGCCAGTCCATAAACGCCAGTTTGGGAAAAAAACCATTTCTTTAATTCCCTCCCATGAATGCTTCCAAAATCATATCTGGCAGCATCTGTGACTCTACAATATTATCACCCTTGTGACTAAGACCTCTCACTCTTCCACACCACACCATGTTAAACCATTTCCTTTTCTCACTCCAAAATTTCCCATTCTCATAATCTTCATCTTTCTCACTCCTATTTTTTTTTTTTTCTTCATTGAGATTTTGATAATCCATTTCATCACAAAACAACTTGTTATAGCCATGCAAGACCCTATTCGCACTCCTGCTTGTTTTTCATCAACTACTGATCATGATCAACATCAAACGGCTGTGACAAGGTCAGGCCAAAGTGTGGTCATGTCCATGTACAGAACCAAGGTTGCCGATCGTTGCCGTTTGATCACAATCACATGGTGCAAGAATCTGATGCTCCACGGGTTATCGGTTTCGGTGGAAGGCCCGGAGGGGGACAGCCAGTACACTTGCAAGGTTGAGCTCAAGCCATGGTACTTCTGGAGGAAACACGGTCACAAGAAGTTTGTGGTTGAAGGTAAAGAGATGAACATATTCTGGGACCTCAAGGCGGCGAAATTCAACGGCGAGACTGAGCCTGCGTCGGAGTACTATGTCGCGGTGGTTTGCGACGAGGAAGTTGTGTTGCTTCTTGGTGATCTGAAGAAGGATGCGTACAAGAAGACGGGTTGTAGGCCTGCTTTGATTGACCCAATATTGGTGTCAAGGAAAGAGCATGTCTTTGGCAAGAAAAAGTTCTCCACAAGAGCCAAATTCCATGAGAAAGGTAAAGTTCATGAAATCTCAATAGAGTGCAAAAACAAAGGTGGGAGTGTGAGCAATGGGAATTTCCCAAGTGGGGTTGAGCCAGAAATGGAGATTAGATTAGATGGGCATATTTTGATTCATGTCAAACACCTTCAATGGAAATTTAGAGGTAATGAGTCCATTCATGTCAACAAGTTAAGAGTAGAAGTCTATTGGGATGTCCATGATTGGTTGTTCAGCCCAGGTTTAAGGCATGCATTGTTCATTTTCAAGCCAATTTTACCTTCCACATCTATGTCATCACTCTCATCTTCTTCATCATCATCTCCACCTTTGTCTTCATTGACATCCACGCCATTGTCGTCTCAGACCGAAAGTTCAGGGTCGTGGGAGAGTTTAAACGCAAATGGGTCGTCGGAGTTTTGCTTGTTTCTTTATGCTTGGAAGGTTGAGTGAAAATGGAACAAGTGGGTATGTATATGAAAAACCAGAAGACCTGAGATTGAGAAAAGAGAGAATAAATAACCAAGTTGATGGGCCAGCATATGAAATTGGCGAATACTGAGGAAGACGCCAGATTGGTTAAGGTGTGAGGGGGATTGGATTGAGAAAGTGGGTCCCAATGGAAAAGAAGGGTAGTGAAGGGGAGATAGATAGAAGAGATACAGCTGGGGGGGGTTGAACAAGTGGGCATAATTGGACGAGACAGATTGTTGTCATATACATTACATGGCCTAATAATTCATTCTTCCATCTGTTTCAATATATATATATGTATATGCAGAGTTTGCTCTTTTTTCTTTCTTGATCTGATCTTGATAATTGAGCAATAAAAATATTTCAAAGTTCTGTATCTATCAATGTGTATGTCTCCAAAGTTTTTCTTTAATAATATATATATATATATATATATATAGATGATATGTTACATGGGTCATTGCATGTCTGTATTTAGAATAAAGAAATACTGATTCATGTGGACCAGGAAAGAGGTTGTTCATGATGATGGGATCATCAACTGTGCGAGCTCGTGGTTTGCAGATGAATTATATATTATCCTTGCCCTTTATTTATTCTTTTCGCTATATATAAAGCACAATTTTGAACTTTCCATAAGTATTAACATTTTTTTTTCCGCTAATCAAGATAAGTATAACAATTTAACAAAACTCGATAAAGATCTAGTTAGTAGAGTCATACTCTACCGTAAATTCTTTGTTTTTCTCTATATAAACCACTAATCATCATCATAAAAACTATGGCATACAATATTTTCCCAATTCTTACGTAGCAAAAAAAAAAAAGAAAAAAGATTAAACCATCAAATGGTGAATGTGTTGACGATAGTGACATTTAGCAATTCTCAACCATCAAATCTAATGTGAGAATATAATAAGTTTCCCAATTGGTCTCCAATCCTAATATATATATCAGCGTGAAGCTATCCTGAGACTGCTTTTTCGTTTTTGCTGAGTAGGACTTTTTGTCGCTCTTGGCTTAATATATGGGATTGAGTGAGAAAGAAAGCCGCCGTTGCGTTGCCACTTGAACAATCTTTCTTGGGAAAGAAACAACTGAATGACATTATTTTATAATATAATAAGTAGTGACATGTCTCACTTGCTGAAACAATTTCTTTACTTTCACTTCCAATCTTGTGAGCCAATAGTTACACCAAAAGGATTGTTTGTTTGGCTGTACTACTTAAGAAATTTCTAGCAGAGTGGACACGCTAGAAAAACATTTCTATGCTACAAGCAAGATTCTATGCCGGAACAATAATAGTGACACTAAAACAAAGTTGCATGGATAAATTTTTTGATAACCGAGGTGTCCGAGACTTTGCCGCGACTAATCCATGGGGTCCCCTCCATATGGATTGTGTAAATATGTGGTCTTTGGTCCACAGCTGTCGCCTCAAGGAATTGATAGCACTCAGTCGGAATCAAACCTTAGACCTAATGCTAAAATTGTATAAATAACCGAACTGTGACGTTACAAATGCAAAATTTATTAATCTTGAGAATTAAATAGGCCTTGAGCTACAATGGCATCAAATCAAATCCTTTCTCTGAAGGATATTGTGTATATGTATACGTATCAGTGGATTCTTTTTTCAGAATAATCCGCAGGCAGACGTAGAGATCCTATAGGGAAATTTTGGGAAAAGCTCAACATCCCTTTTGTTGAACCTATCAGCAACCCAAGACAATAAATTTGAGCTGGTGTTCTGAAATAGAAAAATCCCGGTTTTCTGTGTTTTACAGTTAGCAATCAAAAACAGATACTTGCCTTCATTTTGATCCAAAACCAAACCACTTTGCGAGGAAGAACTTGTTCTTTCCGCGGGATGCATCGGGAGTTGCTTTAGTTTGCGGTGCTGAAGTACCTTGCGGGAGTGATGAACTTGGTTTAGCATTAGCTACAAGGGAAAATGACGTCAAAAGTTATTGGTGATTCACAATTACATATTCAAGCAAAGACTAAAAAGAAACTGTTGTAAGCAGCTATGACATTCGTACAACACTTAACATGTTGGGACTATAGAAACGATGAAATATTCAAGATTTTGTTTGCGGCCTTATATTTCTATCTAGTGTAAATATTTTCCAAAAGGGCCTCAAAGGTAAAAGAACATAATCTAACCAGAATTTGGTGAAACTTTGTTGGTTTTTGCATTAGTTTTCTTGTCCAAGTTTTGAATGATAGTTTCGGGATGACGAATAGAGGGTGATTTTCTCTCTGAAATTCTGCGCTCCACATGCTCCTCAGTCTCATGCCCACCTATAATGACCATCACGAATAAGACCAAAAAAGAGAAGAAAACGAAAAGAAAAGAAAAACAAGAAAACAGAATTGAGAGAGAGAGAGAGACGTGTAACTCTCCAGTGCTTAGTTTAGGCCAAAGAAGTGCTTAGTTTAGGGGAAAAATTGTGACAAACATAAAAGCAAAGATGAAAGTAATCAAAACGCTCAATAGCAGAGCAAACTAGGTAGATATATCCTTTGTTGTATTTAAGAGCAAACTCAGTAGATCTAAGATCTACAAGGCAGTGTCACAGGCTCACAAGTCACAGCCAAACTTAATGGGGTTTCATGTTAGCTCTACTTAGAGCTAAAGGAAGCAGCACAACAAATAAGAGGTCAGCTCATCTTTTTATAACTTTGACACCAAGCTTATAGGATCTCTATCTTTCTCTCTAAAAAAAAAAAAAACCAAACTGACAGGGAACCGCGTTAGACTTTAAGAGTACTGTTATTGTCGTTAGTATACCATCAAATTCACAAGATTTCTAGCAACAAACAAATACAGGAACTTTGAAGAATAATTGTCTAAAACAAAATATTTACAAAACAATGGGAAAACCATCATTTAAAATCTAATCATAATTTGTCATGACTAGCATAAAGAGCTAATCCCACAGTGACTTTACCGAAAGTTCTGGCTTCCTGTATTGAGTAAAGTATTCCGCGGACACATTGCAAGACAAAACAATCAAGGGCATCACCTACTGAAATCAACATAATAATCTGAAGCTATTTCTAGAAGAAGTTTGTAAAGATAGCTTACTCTCATTAGGTGATTTCCCATAATTCTCCCGCAAAGCCTCTAAAAACGAATCGTCTCTTTGATCTTGCATCACTGACGGGAATAACCAAAAAACTTGAATCCTTGTACTCATACTGCATGGATATACTACAACTACACTATCCACATAGATTAACAAGAGGACTTACGTTGATCGAAAAGGGTGTTTCTGTAATTCGGTGTTAGGCCAACTGATAGCAACTGAACAGCTTCTGCATCTCTCGTCATAGACAATTGAGTAGATGAATTTAGATTCTGAGTGTCTAACAAGATAGCTGCCAGCTGCAATACAAGAACAAGTGAGAATCCTAATCAAGAAGCTCTTCTTCTTATCATTTAAGAGCAGGACAAACTCTAGGCTTTTTATGATTCATTGAGAAAAAAAAAAAGAAAAACCAAAATTACCAAAAGTTTCTTCAGCACTGGGGTCTGAAGCAGATCATAGGCATCTTCACAGTAATTATCAGTAAGAATAGTGCATTGAGACCCAACCTAAGAAACCAACAAAGAAACTCGATGAATTATTTTTCGACAATCAATTCCCGAAAATCCTACTTGATTCTCGACCCCAATATCAAGTATATGCAACAGACATAGATATACAAACCTCTCCATTGATTCTGAGGACATCCTGCCCTATCACCACCATGCTTAATTTTCTAGCCATCATTAGACCTTCCAAGTCCACCTGCCCCGAGATGCAGTTACAAAGTTAATGATCTATTCATTCCCATTCATAATGGCATAACAAAGAGAAAAAGGACTTTTTTTTTTTTTTTTGGGTAGAACACTTCTCCAAATCAGAGGCAATATAATTAAAGAAGAGAAAAAAGATACAACCAAGAAAAACACCAAGGAAAAGAGTATCACCACAAAGACAAATAGTTACAAGTATTTCCTACATTTTTCAATCCAGGAGTATTCCGTTTTGCTTTGATCTAAAACTAAAAAAAAAAAAAAAAAAAAAAAGAAAAAAAAACCAACCATCTACTTATTTATCTTAACACAAAAGTCACCAATAACTACATAAAATAGGCAGAATTAGAGTAAAAAGGCAAAATCTTTCATCTACAAAGCTTTCCTCATTGCATCTAAACAACATACTAATTAGTAATTACACAAAACATATTCTCTACCATCAATCACAGATGAAAATCTTGGTATTGAAAAAATATCAAGAGTTTGAAACGCAAAAATTCGATCTATAAAATATCTAAATTTCACAAAAACATATTTTTCTCCTCGTTACTGAATTTGAGAATGTAAATTTTCCATACTATTCGGATAAATATTCACAAAATTTTCGATATTCATTTCTTCGACAATAATAAAATTCGCATAATCTAAACTGCAAAAATTGAATCACAGACAAATGAAAAATCACCTCATCGGAGAAGAGCAACGACGCGACGTCAAGACCGGCGTGGTAGAAGAGCCAAGAAGCCTGCCGTAGCTTCCACATCGTCCCTCTCTTCACATTCATCACGGGCACAGTCACAAATTCTTCCCCTTTTCTCGTTTTGTTCTCCAACAACCACGCGTAGCATATCGCCGCCACCATCGAGCTCGTACCTGAAAATTTCCGAAACTCTCAGACATCAAAATCGGAAATTGGCTTCTATCTCATTTCGATTTATTCTTACTCAACTGTTCGAAGGCCCTGAGAGTACGATTTTAGCCTTGGCATCGCTTTCGCCATTGTAGAGCTTTCGAAGCTTGGTCCTTCGCTCTCTGAGGAAGCCATTAACGCCGAGATCGGAGCTCGCGCCGTTTGGCTTGGGCTTCGAAACGATCTTCTCGACGGAGCAAGTGGACGACCTTATGGACCGCCGGTTGGCCGACTCGACGAGGTTCTTGGGCGGAGAGAGCAAGTGCGGGTCCGTTAACAGATTTGGGCCGGGGAAGTTCCGGTCCGTCGCGGCGGGGATCGCCTGCGGGCGTGGCGAGGAGGGATCGGCCTGGAACCGGGACTTGCGGGACAGCGATTGGCGGCGGGAGAGAGTTGGGGGTTGTTTTTGTGATTGTGGTTGCGGTGATGGTGGTGTTGGCGTGTCGGGATTGGGGGGCTTGAGGATGTTGGAGAACCATTTGTGGTCCGCCGCGGCAGAGGATAACTCGCTGGAAAAATTATCCGGTGGGACGTGGCTGGTGAAGGACTCGGATTTGTTGAGAGTGTGTCTGGCTGACTTTGATATGATTTCTCCGCTGAAGCTCTCCACTGCTCTGTATCTGTTTGAAAAGAAGAAGAGGAAGAAGAAGAAGAAGAAGTGCCAGTTGGATAACGGGATTTAATACGTTTGCTATAAAAGGACAAATCGGCGCCAAAAGCTACAAGGGACGTTACACAAATACATTAGCTCATCGGTGACTGACGGTATACTACTGTGATATCGAAAATACAAACAGTATCATATCGGGATACCAACGGTAGCTCACTGGTGACTAACATTATGTTAACGTGATATTGAAGGTAGACATATGATACTAAAAATTTTGACATACTAATAAACTCATTGCAAAACTAAGGACCCGTTTGGTATTAAGGTTCAAAACTTTTGAAATTCAATATTTTTTTAGAGAAAAAAACACTGCAGTAAAATTAAAACAATGAGTTTGAAATCATGAAGAATATATATACCAAGCATACCCTAAAAAAAATCACAACAAAAGAACTAAAGAGGCGCGGGGTTGCAAAGCACCATAGGAAGCCACAAAAGATCCCGCCCTGACGCTCCCCTTGTGTGGGATCTCTTGGTGGCGATGCGATCTGCAACCTCTGACGAGAGAGCAAAGGTGGGAGGTGAGAGTCGGCGAAAAATGATGAGAAAGGATCCGAGGGGGATATTTGTTCCGTAATGCTATAAATGTGGAAACGTGGTATTTGTTGCAAGAGTTTAAAGGGTAACAAGAAGAATGCATTTGTGTTTGGTATGAGGATTCGTGTCATAATTTGAATCATGATTTGTGACTCGCTACAGTATTTTCTCTCACAAAAAACACACATAAATCAAGAATGGTTCTGAATCATAATTCTGAATCTATGAATCAAACATCCATATGAAACAGTGTTTGATTTTCTCAAAGCTAGTTAATACGCAAGAGGCTCAATGTTGACTTCCCTCCTTGATCCATGTGTTCTTAAAGTGTATCATTGTTCTCTTAAATTCTAAGGTATGGTATAGAATCAACAATAAATGACACTTTTTTCAACCAAAAAAAAAAACAATAAATGTCTGTGAATGATTTGTTTTTCATTAATTCTTCTGTTTTTATGATAAAAAAAATACACATGATAAGAATTAAAAAGCTTTATTTTCTTTTAGCTAATTTGCGCACAATTGCTTACTATTAATCAATTTATTTCAAGTATCTTTTTTGCTTGAAAGAAAAATTCATATGGATCAAAATAGAGTTCCCTTAAAAAAAAATAGAGTAATTAATATATCGATCTTAATTTTGGTCAAGATAAAATCAAGAATTAGATTGGGTCTTGAAGCTCTTTTATTCATGGATATATCAACAATATGTTTTAATCACACAGTTAGTTTCTGTTTGTAAGAATACCTACTAATAATTAGATTTAAACTTCACATATTAAAATAAAAAAAGTCTGCATAGAGTTAGTCGATTCATAACCAATGTGATGATAATTCTACAGCTCAAGCACTAATATTTTTTTCTCAATAATATCAAATAAGTTAAGCTAACCCAATACTAGGATACGAAAAACTGTACTCAATGGTGAATATCAATATCATATCATACCAAAGAAACTCACTATACTTGGTCTAGGGATATAAATTAAATTGATAAGGAAAATAAACATTTATAACGACCACCTCTAATGTATTGGAATATATATATACATACATACATACATATATATATATATATATATATATAAAACTCCCCACACCACCTCTATTCCAATGCATTGCAATGCCAAATTACTATATCAGTGTCTAATTTCACTTGAGCAGGAAAATACTCTCCAATTATACAATCTTATCTTTGGTGTTAAATCTGATATTTGATTACTGTAAGTTGATGTATTATTTTTCTTTTAAGGAGTATTTAGTTTTTCATTTAATCAAATGTTTGTTTTCACATTTTTTTAGCGCCTAGGAAAATTTAGTATATTATTACCTTCTGGCGGACCTAGAGAGCGGATCTCTTCTATCAAGGGAGGAGGGTGACAATGCTGTTCCCTGTGCCGCCGCCGCAAACCTCGGGGATCCAACAAGGCGAGAAGGCGACTCACAGCGCGAAGGAGAAGAGGCCACCAAGCGCCGAGCCTCGTCTAGCCATTCCTCGGTCATCCTGCTACTAATGCTCCTCCTGGAGCTATTCTCATCTAACTCTTCGTCTTCATTCATTACAACCGTTTGATCAATACCTGTAAAATTATAGGCTTTCTTGTGATCAGTATCACTCTTCACGGTCCCAAAAAACATGTCGTTCATGAAGTCCGTGATGTCCGGTACATGTTCGGCTTTTCGCCGAGATTCTGCCGCGATCGTCATCTTCTTTTGCTTGCTTTTATCTCTTGAAGACTGGCTGTCGTTGAATCTCCTTATTTCCATATCTGATATTCAGAGATCAGCTACTGATGAGAGAGAGAACCCTGATGTTTTTTTTTTTTGAGAGTACAATGATGAAAGCTATAGCGGAGCGATCTATATATGCTTAATCAGTTCAGATATGTTGACAACACTAAAGGTGCTGTAGATAGAATACGTACGCGTATACGTACAAGCTATATATATATATATATATATATATACTTTGGCCGGCATATTTCGGCCATCGTCTTTTCTATACGTGCAGATTTCGATAAATTTTATGTCTTAAGCAAATCTCTATGAAAAATATTGGAGATTATACATATATATATACATATACATAAGAGTTAATTTGATCCTCGAGTACTTTGGTTTTAGAAGTTATACTATCGTAACATTGGGAACATTATGCACGTTTGATGCACTTAAACGGGATAAATAAAATGCAGTTAAATGGGATAACTAAAATTTTATCGGCCTGATCGGATAATGGAACTTTAGAGATCTAAATCCATTTAATTAAACATAATTTATAAGGAAAAATCTCAAAATTAGAGAGAAAACTTAACTCTAATTCAAAATTTCAATCCCAAACATTTTTTTAATCATATGGAAATATATGTATAAGTTTTTAACTTATCTAGTATCGAAGATAACAAAAAAAGGGCACGTGCTACAAATCTGAAGACTAAAATCCTCTTAGATTTTTTAGGTCTTTTTTTTTTAACTTTTTTATTTTTTTTACATGAATGCCCTTGAACTTCTTGTGTTTGGCCCTCGACTAAAAATCTTGACAATTGATTCTTTAAACTTTAAAAGTGTGTTGAATAGTAAGTCCAATCGAAAATGATGTTAATTCCGGTGCAATTATATGAAGAAAATTTCTTTTGAGATTGAACAAATTTCCCTCCTTTCTTACTTCCATTGCCATTGTTTTTGAGTTTATAAAGCGGGTACATAAACTTCATAATATTATAGTGAATGGGAAAAGACAGACTAAGAGAATTATCACTACCATGTGCTTGCATTTAATGAGTAATTTTTATTTACATTCAAACCTTTAAAATATAACTTTCTCATCTGTTAACAAAAAAAAGAAAAAAAAAAGGAAAAAAAAAGGAAAAAGCCAACCATACTTCATATTGTTTGGTGACCCTATCTGTTTCGTGTAACTGTGCAAGCAAACTGATGCAGGAACATTTTCAACACGCTGTCGTTTGAGGCTTATTGCTATCCAGCAATTGGCGTCGTTTCATAAAGCAATTATTCTTGGTTTTGTCCTTTGTCCTCTTTTTAGACTCTTGTCGTTTTTATTTGTTAATATGTGGTCCTAGGTTTTAAGGGACCGAAACTCCTGCTTGTAGGGCAGCTGATTCTTATTTTCTTTAGAGAACTTTCTGTAGAGCAGGAGCTCTTCCTTCCGGCCATTAATTTTGCTTAACTCTTCCTTTCCGCTCCATCACAAACTAAGCTCAAGAAAAGGCCCCAAAAAAAAAAAAAATAAATAAATAAAAGAAACCGTAGAGTAAACAAGAATAGGCATTTATTAATTTTTGCACTAGATGCTGCAAAACCACCAAGCATCTCCCTAAAGTAATAACTAAAAATAGTTTCAGGCTCCTAAGGCTACACTTAGGCCTTGTGTTCTTCTCGGAACTCGAGTCACAATTAAATTTTTAGTATTTTTCTCTCACGTACAAAACTTAAGTTCTTGAATTGAGTTGTGAAACAAACACACCCAAACACCCATAATCTTCTTAGTTCACACCCGATCCAGCACTCAGGTCGTTGACAAACATAATGTTTCCCTTACTAGATGCAACATTTAGTGGCCGTGAATTAGAGTAATATCACTTTTAAAAAGTTAGTACTCAAATCTTTTAGAGTTTTTGAGGAGAGATAGAGAGAATAATTGAACTTTATAATAAAGGATTGGACTTTCATCTTAAAAAGTCAACTTATTTAGTGAGGTGGGTTAATACTTTTATATGTCTATAATTATCTTTATATTTAAATAGTGTGGAACTTAAGTATTTTACCGTTAATAAATTAGACCATCTTTCTAAAAAGATTTGAGCGCAATTTACACTGAAAATTATTAGGGATAAATAATTAGGTTGCATAAGTGGTAGTAGATAAAATTTTCCACTCTGGATATGGGATTTGACTTTTGAGTCGCTACAAGAACACTCTCATCAATACTACTAATTTTATTGGATTGTACAAATGAAAGTGTAAAATGATGAAAGCAGAGCATAGAAATTGTTGCAACGCATATTATTCAACGACTTGGTCTTTTTTTTTTTTAATTTTTTTTACTCTATGTTATTCTTATATGTTGTTGTGCCAAAACGTTAAATTAAGCATATTTAAGACAAAATAAGAATAATAGAAAAATTTAATAGATATAAGAATTTAACGTGGTTCGATTTTTGGCCTGCGTCCATGATCAGAAACGGCGAAAAAATTTCAATATAACTAAAGGAGATTACAAAAGTTTATCAAATATCACTCACCACCTAAATTCCAAATACACCCAAAATCTCTTAATTTAAAAACAAAAATACCAAATATTAAAGAATTAAATTCTCTGAGTAAATATCATTAAAAAAAAAAAGAGAGACTAATGTGTATCAATAGGGAAAAGAAATCACTCTTGCGGCTGCTATATTTCATATGCGGCTCTGATATAT